AGTTCTAAAGAGGATTGGTTGATAGTTCCGCCAGAGTACGGCAGTGTGAATATTGAATAGAAGTTGAAAATGAGCGAAGGGCATTCATTATTCTGTAATTGTAGAAATCCCGTAAATTAGGCCTTTGGTGTGCAGAATTAGTGCGCCCAAAATTACGCCCAACATGGGCTTGGTCTTGAACTAAACAAAAGTCCTCCATACTGCTGGTTTCCATTTTCATCATCTAAAAGTTAACGTTATTTTCCTGCAGATCGGCTACCACATGAATTTTACGGTTCAAAAGACACGCTCCCTGTTCCACCAGATACTCTGAAAGATATATGTTTTTTTGGATACTATGAAAATTAAATACGCGATGAAAATTTACAAATTGATGGAATGTAACAGCAACAAACAACTACAATAGCAACCTGTTACTACGGTGAAATAAGGTTAGGATAAAAAATACTTAAAAATATTTAAGAGAGACTTATAAATACTCAATCGATATTAGAACTATAGCTTAGAGTGAGATACCCCTAGAAGAAAAGTGTTGAGCTAGAACTAGGAGATGCAACAGCCTTTCAAGTTTTTGCTTCACGGGCAAACCATCGTTCATTTGGTGAATTAGTTCCTGTTTATATATTCACCTGTTTCGGTTTCTACAACTTTGTCATAGACATTATTTTGAATAACCGCTTTCGTGCTGTATTTTGATGAGAAATCAAATGTCGAGTGCGCTATTGTCAAAGGTTGGAAACGAGTGGGCATAACCAAGTTCCAACAAAGATTTGCCAATTGGTTCATTCGGCAAGAGAGTCGTCCTAGTGCTTTTTTCTGGTTTTAGACGTTTGATGTTTTGTACCTTAAAGTTCCATTTTTGAGATCATGGAGAATTTTTAACTAGTTTTGTTATTACGTAGGACTACGTCTTTCGGGAAGATGGGGGTACACTTTATGAAAACCGAAAAATGAAATTATGAAAGATTTTGAACGTTAATAACTTAGCTGCCCCTGGACCAATTTAAAAAAAAAATCATCCGTCGTCTGGCTCGACGTGGTGGTGTCAAGCGTATTTCCAGTCTGATCGAGGAAACCCGAAGTGTGCTGAAGGTGTTCCTAGAAATGATGATCCGTGATGCCGTCGCCTACACTGAACACGCCAAGCGCAAAATCGTCACGGCCATGGATGTCGTCTACACTCTGAAGCGACAGGGACGCACTCTGTACGGTTTCGGAGGTTAAAATTTATCACCAACATAACAAAACGGCTCTTTTCAGGGCCACCAAGTTCATTTCAGAAAATAGTTAGAATATAATTTATATAGAGTAACCCATGATTCACCCATTCAATTTGTCACTAAATACATCAATATGATACAAACATCAAATAATTTATTAGGGAAATAAATTAGGTCCTATTTGTAGTCTTATCGGTGGATTAAATTAATTCCGTTTCACTTTAATAAACTGAGAAACCCTCATCGTATGCATTCTCCTGCTACGCGACATCTTCGAAATCGTTAAATAATACAGAGTACAGAGAGTACAGAGAGTACAAAAGGAGAGGCGCCAGTGTCGCACTTAATAGCAAACTACTCATGATGGGAGGAGTCTGTGTACTTTACCGGCATGTTCAAAATGAAAGGCAATCAAAATTTCATTTTGTGGTTGTTTCCCAGACACAGACATCATATTCAAAGACCATCGTGATTATGCATTGTAGCATTCTCTGTAAATTCCAACTGGTACAGTAAATGCTTCAGTGTTTACACTCCGCGTTGGATAGAGTCAATATTCGAAGCGAGACAAGTGTTTATCTAGACATTCTGTGTAAATCTTCAAAATGTCTCAACACATGGCTGCTAAATATCTCCGCAATTATCGGAAGCGCGTGAGAGACCAGGAGGCAGGGAAACCTGCAAAACAGAGTCGGACCGTTGCTGATAGCGTTCGAATGTGTCGAGCCAACAAGAAAGCGGTCAAAGATAATGCGTCGCCAACTACTAATTGGGACTCCCACAGTGCAGTTTTGAAAATTGAACACTAAAATTTATCCTAACATTGCTTTGCATTTTGCATTATCTTTATGTGATTTTTATGTGTGACCCTCAATTTAAAGAAGAAACATTTGATACAATCTAATATTTTCTATGTTTATTGTTTCAAAAAAAAAAATTCGTCTAAAAAGAATGAAATTATTTGATTCATTTATTTCTCTCTAAAATTGTATTTTTTGCCAATACATTGATACATTAATTGTACATATCAATTAACATACATTGTTAAAGATAAAGATTTTTCTTCAAATCTCTTTCTTATATTACTAATAAAGTATGCAATATTATTTATTTAATTAGATAAAACAGAGGACAGTAGCAGTCCTTATTGAAGTGGTAAATTATTTGATAAAACATTACTGCAGCTTCAATTTGCAAAATGAAAGTTTTATCTTCCCAGCTGTAATGTGAACCAGTAAACAAATATATAAATATAATTTTAAGAAAAATTTGGATTCCAATTCCCAATATTCAACTGTCATCGCCTTTTCTATATGGTGATCAAAATATCGGAAAAAGTGTGCTGTACACCATATCGCATGCATGAGGCATGTAACAAAAAGTGTGTTGGTGAGTTCTCAGGCGTTAATGTTCACGAAAAGTTCACTATTTTGCTTTAAGCAAATGGAAAACAAACAAATTTATTGGCAGATTTGGGCAAATTTTGACCTGTTTCATGCTACCGGAAGGTATGCTGGTCACAAATGCCGTGCCAAACTGATTTCCTGCGCAAGTGATATGTATAAACGCGAATAAACACGACATCCCGTGATTATAGAAAAGCTTGCCATAAAGAAACCATCACAGTTCAGGGCCGCCACAACTTTCTACAAAAGAGTTGAGTAATGAAATTCACTTAATTAAAAAATAATATCCGAATCAACAATCTACAAAATCGAACAACAATTTCGTAGTCCTACGTCAACAATGCAGTCGTTTCTTGTACACTACACTGCAACTTTTTTTTTTCTTTATTATAGAAATTTTTAGCCATATGGCTAGCTCATCTCTTTCCCAAAGAGAGGGTCATAAAAATACGAATATTCAATTGAAAAAATATCTGCTTAGAATAGCCAAACTTACTGATTCAATTCAAGTACATTAAACGCTAATGGTCACAAGGAAAATAATAACAAGTAAGTGATTCACGTCCCCAGCGTCCTGAATCTGGCTCAGCACAAGATTAAATAATCAATAGTAATAATAGTAATACGGGCTAACATTGCTCTAGTCACCATGTTTGTATTCTAATAGTCCTACAGCAGTATGTTCGCTCGCTGTCATCATGTAATGGATTCCTTTTTTCACACTAGCAAGCATCAGCCTATGGTCCATCTGCAGCCAGGGTTGCTTCCACTCATTTAGCTAGAAAAAAAAAGTTTATGAAATCATTAGATGTCAAACTGATATTTTGTACTTGTAGGTTATTGAAAAATTGATAGGTTTTATGTATCAAGCTAATACTTGACACTCTGTTCTAAATTATGAGTTTGATACATAAAACCTGTCAATTTCACTTTCAGAGAGTCACGATAAGCGATGTTATGATTCGTGATCGATCCCTAAGAGTGAATCCCGAATCGTACAATCGCTGATTGCGACTCTACGAACACATGCTGAATAACCTCTTCTTGTATTTTAAAAACTTTTCAACTTATAAAACGGACATCTAAATTTTTTTTGTAACTTTTTCATTTATAATTGTATCCTGTTACCGTTTTGGTTCCTGTACCCTATTGATTCACTTCGAGCGAGAAAAATCAGGAGATAGCGATAGCGAGGAATAGGGTATATGTGTACTCATTGTGAATTAAATCAGTATGTCAGTTTCTTGTATGCAATATTGTCTTGTTTTCGAATGTAAATATAATTAAATATGTAAGTCAAATGAAAGACCACTCCCAAACCAACGTTGCAATTATATATTGTAACCCAGTCACACCAACAACACATAACACAGAAAACATAACGGGAAGGAGTAAGGATGAAGGTGGGCGTTGGAAACAGGAGAAGGATATGGACAAGAGGTGGTGCAAAAGTGGGAGGGAGGTGGAAATGGGTTTAGGTCAAGGGGGAAGCTACTGGGTCAAACTGAAGAGAAGGTTCTCTTTCACTTCAGCCATTGCGCGAGATAGATCGATCTGACAAGTTTGTTATAAGTTTTTGAAAAGAAGTGAAATATACAGACTCGCCAACAATTACCGGCTAATACCACCGAAAACGGAGTCAGGTAGGACCCAATTAATAACCCTGTAGCGGAATTTCCAGCCCTAAAACCACCTCTCATATTCCCCTCAGGACCCATTTATTACGGGCTAAACCACGAGGGCGTCCATCAACACGCCAACACCCGTGTAGCAAGCGTCCATCGGTAATACACCGACGACCACTGAGAGACCACCGTCGATCACCCGATCGAGCCCCAATGCAACATCCGTCGTGCCACACGATGACACCGGCATCCACTGTGAACAGTCCGTTCATCTGCCGCCGAAAAACCCCACCCACTGCAGAATCCCGTCATCGCTGGCCAGCAATCTACAACCCCCACACTACAGACATAACAAGTGAGTGAGACAATAAAGAGAAAAAGTGATTAATAGGTGTTTTGTGCTTCTGATCAGTGTCGACAAGCTAGGAGCCGACCTTGAAGCTCGAGGGTTGCAAGCACGAGCTAGCCAACAAAAGAGGCGAGTGTAGCCCACCCCCGACGATTTCCGTGGCTAGACCAGAGGTTAGGGGAATCCCTTTAATCTAGCCCATCTGGATAGCCATTAACAATCTGTATCAGAATTTGTATAGGTAACTTATGCATGTAATGAAACGCGATGTACAACGGCGTGCTAACGCTGAGTCGAGATCGTAGGATTTGAGGACGACGTCGTGTTGGCGGTAGTAGGCGAGACGTTGGAAGAGGTGGAAATGCTGGCAACCGAGGCGATCGACACGGTTTCCAACTGGATGCAAGGAGCGAAGCTGCAGATAGCCCACCACAAAACGGAAGTGCTATTGGTCAGTAACTGTAAAGCTGTTCAGCGAGTAGAAATTACCGTCGGGGAGAACGTCATAGCATCAAAGCGCGTGCTGAAGTATCTTGGAGTGATACTCGATGACCGACTAAGCTTCAATAGCCACGTTGACTACGCATGTGAGAAGGCGGCGAAGGCCATCAATGCGATAGCTAGAATCATACCGAACAACTCTGGACCAAGCAGCAGCAAGAGGCGCGTTCTGGCTAGTGTATCGTCATCGATACTGAGGTATGGAGGTCCAACCTGGGATGCAACGCTGAAAACGAAGAAGAACCAAAGAAAATTGAACAGTACGTTCCGCCTCATGGCCATGCGAGTCGTGAGTGCGTACAGAACAATTTCGACGGAAGCAGTATGCGTTATCGCCGGTATGATACCCATCGTCATCACCTTGGCGGAGGACACCGAATGCTATATGCGAAGAGATACCACAGGAGTACGGACATTGGTGAGAACGGAGTCGATGGCTAAGTGGCAACAGGAGTGGGACGCAGCGGAGAACGGTAAATGGACATACAGGCTAATACCGATTCTTTCGACCTGGGTGAACAGGAAGCATGGAGAAGTCAACTTCCATTTGACGCAGTTCCTGTCTGGTCATGGCTGCTTCAGGAAGTACCTGCATCGCTTTGGACACACAATGTCACCCCTCTGTCCGGAGTGTGGCAACGTGGACGAAACGCCGGAGCCCGTGGTTTTCGACTGCCCAAGATTTGAGGCAGTGCGAGTGGAGATGCCGGCCCTTAGCGCGAGAAATGTCGTCAGTGAAATGTGCCGGGATGAGAGGACGTGGAGCGTCGTCAGCAGGGCAGCGACGCAAATTTTGTCGGAGCTGCAGCGAAAATGGAGAGATGATCAGCGAGTTAGAAACGCCGGCTAGCTGAGCTAAAGAGATGTGCTTGAGTACAGCCCCCCGACGAAATACTCTAAGGGAGTTCCGGCTAGAGGTGAGTAAGGTAATAGTGGTTAAGAGTCCCACACTGTGCCAGAAAGAGAACAAACACGCAACACAGTGACAGGCCGGGCTTTTAAAGCTTTCCTTCTATAAAAAAAAAAAAACATGCATAACGTACATAATTTTTAACTTGCCCCTCAACCCCCCTCCCCCCTGCTTTGATCTTGCCACCACTGCACATTTAATTCTCGAAAAATGTCATTATTGAGCTCGACAATCAATAAAATACGAATATACGACTGTACAAATCAGTCCACCTCAACCAAAACTAATTTAATCATATAGGCTGACAAAATCGGGTCAAAAAGCTAACAAAATCGGGGGTAGACAAAATCGGGGGCTGACAAAATTGGGTCACCACTGTATTTGGATCATAATCCAAACAAAAATAGCAATTACTTAAATTGATGAAAATCAAACGCATAAGTTTAAGATGAACCATCAAAAAAAAAAATTAAATTCAATAGGTACTTCCATTTTGTTTTTGTATTCTGTATAAGTGTATACTATGGCAGAAGCTTTAAGTCAAAAAATCTTATACATGACATTTGTCAGATCATTTCATTTAGAACAAAATGTGATGAAAAGTGTGCTGACATAGTTAACATTAGTATAAAAAATGCATTTTAGAGCACATTTTCGTGAAAATTACATGCTGCTTCAAATATATTGATTATTATATTTTCTACGTTGCTTATAAGTAGAGCTTAAAATTTGCCGAAAAAAGCATAAAGCTAAGTAATCAAATCAAAAACTCGGGATTGAAAGTGTGTGTCCGTTTTACAGCATCATCACAATCAAATTTCGAAAATCAATTTTTATAGCGAATGGAAGCAACCTTGCCTGCGGCAGCAATTGTTTGCGTTTGCCTCAATATGGATATGTATTGTTATTCCATACGATCGGAATGGAAGTTGTTGTAATTGTTCTGTTGCCTTTGGTTATTCCAATAACTACCACCGCCAGCATGGTAGGAAAGGCTTATATTTTTACACGTTATTCCAATTGGCATGGGGCCACACTGAACTGACTGGTTTGCATTGTGTATTCCTTTTGGTTCGACAAATGGCAAGCAGCTTGCATTATTATTGGTCTCGTAACGTTTTGTGTCGATTTCCATAAATGTCGCTTCATAATATAGGGATGTTTATTCGAGCATGGAACTCTCGGACATTGCCTGAACCAATAAAGTACACATAACAATATAGCGTACTAAATTACGTCCAACACGCCACAGAAATATGCGATGAATATGCAAATGTCGTTGTTTGAAACGGCACTGATTTCGTGCTACTTTTGATACTGCGATAAGATTTAATCTGCTGATTTTTATTCAAAGAGTAATTTAAATTTCTGAGTAACCTTTAAAGTTGCTGTCTGTAACTGGTAACATGATAATGTACTTCAGGTGAAGATAGCTCACGAGCCCGAGTGGCAGATGGACGTTCTCACACTAGTTATCTTCCATACGAAAAAGTCCAACGAATCATAAATCCATGCTCCAGCTATGGGATATTATGTGAATGCAACCTGATTGTTATGAATTTGATGATGATGTCATTAGGAAACACGATCACGTTTATTACATGCATAAGTAATGAGACAGACCCAGATGAGGACGACGACGTTGATGCTGATGGCGAAGAAGCAACACACCATTACGGCATCATCATTATTCAGCGACACTGTGTATTAAGGTGACGGTGGCGTCCAGGTGGAAGGAAATGTGTCGCTTTTAACAGGTGCATATAGCGACCAACTACTGCCGTTGCTGTAGCAATAACAACAACGATAGACTTCCATTCCTGGACCCTCCCACCCCACATTATGAATAGTTTGTCTGCTCAAGAGGAAGCAATTGACTTTCTGAAGTCGTAGGGAACACTGGTGACTAGTGGATCTTACGCAGATCTTCGCCCTCCTATAGTGCAGTGGAATAATGCGAGACGAGTATGACCGTGTCCAAGTGTTCTTCCTGTAGGTTATGGGTGCAAGATGTACGGTTGGTCATTATTATTGCTAGATACCTACTTTTCAACAACGTGATCCTGCAACAATGTTCGTATTTTCTTCATTCCACGAACAAAATGGCTATTATGCAGCAACAAGCTTTCATAATTACCTCTCAGATGAGAGTAGGCAGAATATTATTAACGATTCATGATTTATGGTTAACCAAGCACCGTTCCAAAACTTTCTTCTGCTTCATGAGTATAACGTACCACCTGAAATTTGATGCCTATCCTTAACCCTCCGTTACTCGCGCTGTTGTACTTTGTACAACACACATGAGTTTTCCATTGCCATTTTGTTGCTGAGTTACCAATAGATCTGAAACCAACGAGTATTCCTCAAAAAACTTCTTTTGATCTAAACAAGCTAAACTTTGATTACGGTAAACACCTAAAAATGCGGATAATAGGGAAAATGTAAATGGAAACCGCGTAAACTGTGGCCATACTACGCGGGATTTGACTTCATTGATTACAACATGAAATATATCGAGATTCTGACCAGATATACAAAGTTGTTCAGGAGATCATAGGCTTGTCGCTGGTAGACAGTAGTTCAGAATTTTCTCACTACGTAGCGCTAGCATCCATGTGAAATTCTTGCATGTGATATATCTCGAGATTCTGACCAGATAAAAAGTTACTGTCTTTCACAAAGTTTTTCAGGAGGTCAAAGCCTATTGGTGCTCAATCATTCAGAATTTGCTCACTACGCGACGCTAGTGTACATAAAATATCTAGAGTTCCCAACCAGATAGAAAGGTACAGTCTTCGGCATAGTTGTTCAGGAGATCAAGGCCTTTTCGCAAGTAGTATACAGTAGTTCAGAGTTTTCTCACTTTGCGGCGCTACTATACATCTTAAATTCTCGCATATAAAATATCTCTAGATCCTGATCAGACAGAAAGTTATTTATTCAGCATAGTTTTTCAGGAAGTCAAGATCTTTTTGTTGGGTGACAATAGTTCAGAATTTTCTCACTATGTGGCGCTAGTATATAGTGCCTTTCTCGCATATTCAGCTTGAGATCTTGATCAGCTAGAAAGTTGCTGTCTTCGGCAAAGTTGTTTAGGGGGTCAAGTCTTTTTGGCTGATAGACATTAGTTAAGAATTATCTCACCACGTGGCAATTTTGAACTACTGTCAACTAGCGAAAAGGTTATGACCTCTTGAACAACTTTGTCGACGACAGTAACTTTCAATCTGATTAAAATCTCGAGATATTTTACATGCGAGAATTTCGATTGTATATTAACGCCACGTAGTGTGAAAATTGTGAATTATTGTGCACCAAGCAATAGGCATTGACCTCATGAACAACTTTTTCGAAGACAGTAACATTCTACCATAGGCATACGCAAGAATTGTACACGTTTACTAGCGCCACGTGGTGAGACAATTCTGGGCTACTGTTCACCAGTCAAAAATCCTTGACCCCTTGAACAAGTACACATCATTCTATCTGCTCAGGATCTTGAGCTATTGTATATGCGAGAATTGCATGTGTATACTAGCACCGCTTAGTGAGAAAATTCTAAACAACTGTCCACCAACGAAGAGATCTTGACTTCCTGAAAAAATTTGCCAAAGACATTTACTCTCTATCTGGTCAATATGTATCACATGCGAGAACTTTACATGTATACGAGTGCTACCTAGTGAGAAGATTCTGAACTACTTTTCACCAACAAAAAGATTATGATCTCCTGAACAGCATTGCCGAAAACAGTAACTTTCTATCTGGTTGGGAACTCGAACTGTTGTATATGCTACAATTGCACGTATATACTAGCGTCACGTAGTGAGAATTTTCTGAACTACTCTCCACCAGAAAAAAAAGGTTATGACCTCTAGAACAACTTTGCCGAAGGCAGTAATTTTCTATCTGGTCAGGATCTCGAGGTTTTCCATGATGTAACCAATTAAGTCAAATCTCACCTAGTACGGACACCGTATACGCGGTTTTCATTCACATTTTCTCTATTATCCGCATTGTTTGGCGGTTAACTGTGATAAAAATTCAGCTTGTTTACTTAAAAACAAGTTTTTTAAGAAATACCCGTTAGTTTTATATCGATTGGTAGCTCAGTTGCAAAATGGCAATGGAAAACTCACACTGTTGTACAAAGTACAATGCGCGAGTACTCGGGTTACAAAAGTTGGCGCGAGTAACGGAGGGTTAACTGACACACTTGTTAATTGACAGTCTCTCTAAACCTGTATCCAGACTCAGGTTTGCGTTTTTGGGAGCTTTAAACAACATCACCTGGGATTTTTTTTCCATACATCCTCCAGAAGTTTCTTCTGAATACTATTTATCCTGGAAGCTTCTTCTGACTTGCCCCAAAAGTGTATTCCAACTTTCTTCGCAAGATTCTATAAACTTTCTCTCTAAACTTTTTTTTTTTTTTTTTGACGTAGAACTACGTCTTTGTCGACTATACTGGGGTGCAAATCAAAAATATGTGTGGGTGAAGGAGTGTTAGGTTTTGAACGCTTGTAACTTTGTCATTTTATAGATGAAATTAAAATCCAAATACGCCAATCGATAGGATATTACATTACGAACCTGTTGAAATAAATATTTTTCCAATTTTTTCTGTAATTAAACTAT